TGGGAGGGGATTAAAATTTCACAGTTCGTATTTGGGAGGGTTCGGATTTTGGGGGATTCTCAGGATTTGTGGAGAGGGAGGCCCGGGATTCCCAAAATACACAAACACACACCCAAGCAAGGACCCCAAAATTCCTGAGGGGAGCAAACAGAGACTGAACCACCCAAAACACTTTTCTCGCCATTTTTTCCCTTTTTTACTCACATTTCCCACCCTTTTCCCCTCAAGTTTCCTCTCACATTTCCCTTCACTTTCGGCCTCACATTGCCTGCTTTTTTTCCCCCGCTTTTACACCCGTTTTCCCTTCCATTTCCCATCTTTTTCCCCTCATTTTTTTTCCCTTTCCTCCCCTTCCGTTTCATACCTTTTCTTCCTCTCGTTTCCCGTCCTTTTCCCCGTCCATTTCCTGCCTTTTCTCCCCTCACGCTCCCCGCCATCTTGTCCCCTCACGTTTTCCCGCCCTTTTTCTCCCCTCACGGTTTCCCGCCCTTTTTCTCCCCTCACGTTTTCCCGCCCTTTTTCTCCCCTCACAATTCCCACCCTTCTCACATTTCCCACTCAAAATTCTCACTTTCTCCCCCAAAATCTCCCTGCAATTTAACATAAATTGCCTCCAAAACGACGCACTTTGCTCGTACCCGTGTGGTGCAGCCGTTTTCTTACAGTCAATTAAAGCAGGTTACTCTCTTTAAAAAAGCTAATACAGGTCTAAGTAATACATACAAAATGTATTTTTAATACATATAATTTATATTTATAATATATATAACTCGTTTATATTTACATATGTAAAATATATACATAAGGGAATGAACTTTTTAGAGCTGTAGTTGGTACTAAAAGCCACACCGAATCATCTCCAAGCGTTTTGAGCCCTCAGGATTCTCCTCTCTGGCCCTCAACATTTCAAATTCTGAGACTGAATCATCTCCAAGCGTTTTAGACAGTTTGAGCACCCGGGATTCTCCTCTCTGGCCCTCAATATTTTAAATTCTGTGACAAAAGCAAAGCCCAAATGAGCCCCGGGGATGATGAGAACGGGGGGGATTCGCCCCACCACCAAAGCTCTGACCTTTCTTGAGCTCCAAGCGGGCACATCCAGAGCCATAAAACTGCATTTTCCTTCTAAAATGGCGTGAAAAACAATCCCAGCAGCTTCCCCAGGCCTGGGGGGCGTCTCTCCACCTTTCATTTTGAGTCTGGGGGAGGCACGAGGAGAAGGCCTGAGGAGGAGGCCTGAGCAGGAAGCCTGAGGAGGGCGGGCAGCTCCGCCATTTTGGGGCGGGCCAGGAGCCCGGGGTTAATCCCGACCGCGCCTCGGGTGGAGGTTTTGGGAATCCCAAAAAGGGAAAAGGAGTTTTGGGAAATCACCTCGGGAAAGGAGGGCGGGCTTTCCACAGCCGAGGAGGATCCGGCGGGTGTCGGCGTCCCCCGTCGCGGCTCAGCGGCACCAGCGGCACAGCCCGCGCAGGAACCCGCGCGGTGGCCGCCGCCGCTGCCTCAGGGAGTCGAGAAGCAAAGCGGTCTGAGCCGCCAGGCAGCGGATGGAGGCGTCCCTGTCCAACGTCTTCATCCGGTCCAGGGCTCCAGGAGGAAGGGAGAGAGCACGGATGAGACCCCTCAGAAACCAATGAGACCCCTCAAAAAACCCTGAGACCCCTCAGAGACCCCTGAGACCCCCCAGAAAACCCTCAGAGACCCCTCAGAGACACCTCAGAAACCCCTGAGACCCCTCAGAAACCCGTGAGACACCTCAGAAACCTCTCAGAGATCCCTGAGACCCCTCAGAGACCCCTCAAAAACCACTGAGACTCCTCTGAAACCCCTCAGAGACCCCCTGAGACCCCCAGAAACTCCTC